TAAAACTTTAACCAGTGATTGTTGTTCCATAAAGCTGTTGTCTATATATAGAACAAATATATATACAGATAACAGTTCCTGTTCATCCAGGAGCTTTCCATTTCATAACAGGGATTGTTTTCTATATCTTATATGTGTATTGGGGACACTGATAGCATCAATTTGCACCAATTAAATTTTCAATGACACATTTGTGGTTCCTGCAATTTCAATTTAACTTGGTGCCTTATGTGATAAAGAATATTTTGGAATTAGTGATGCCATCAAGCATTTAGTTTTAGTGGAATTGAATGAATCACAGGCATTTGATTAAATATTGGAATAGTGAAAACTTTGCACTACGAATTGATGCTATCGATGGCCCCAATACACATAAAAAATGTAGAAAACATCTTTACAATCCCTTTAAAACTGTCATATTTGACTTTGTAAAACAAGCACATTAAGAAAAAACTTGTGCATGTTTAACTGACATCATACTTATTTCATTTATCATTGGGTCATGTCCAATGAATAACAAGCCAAATTGGTTGTGTATACTTTTCAGAAAAAAAAGTTTATGATCAGAGGAAGTTTTTCATAAAATCCTTATTCCAATTTTTTTTTTTAAGAAAGTGTTAAATTTTACACAAAAAAACAATAAAATTATCACTTTAATACATATTTTCAAAATTATCCATAAAATCCTATTCAAACACCTATGAACATTACTATGTAAATACATTAGCATGCATTTATCAATTTTTGAGAATATGTGATAAAAAAAGAAAAATATTGGAATATAATTTTTTTAAATAAGAAATTATTAAGAAATGATGAATTCTACAAAAAATGATACAAAATAATGAAACAAAGTTATTGTCAATAGACACACCAAATGATCTTTTATCTTCTGTAATAATCTTGATAATGAATGGTGATGTTATATTATGCATCTGTTATGCTTTGATGTTGTGTTTCTCTATATATTCATCTAAAGTTTTAATAATTGTCTGAAATTAAAAAGACAATATAAAATAGAATTAATAATAATAGATTGTTGTAGTAAAAATCAATTGTAACAATGTTTCCAGATGTATTTCCAAAATACAGTAGAATGGTGTGTGCTATATCTAGCTATTAATAAGACATATATAACTTACCCTTTTATCCATAGACTGAGCCATTTCATAAGCTGTTTTACCATACTGTAAAGAGATAGAAGTAATAATGTTAAAATGAATTCATTCAAAGGGATAGATTCTTGGTATGGTTAAATAGTAAAGGGTGACCACCTTCCACCTCCAAAACAAAACCCAACAAACAGAACCCTTAAATATTTTATTTAGATAGTTAGTCATAACTCTAGCTCTTTTGAGAATGAATAACAGATGTTGATTATTCAAAATGATCATACATGTTATATGAAAGAAAAGGATGCAATTTTATTCCACATTAATATCTATTGAGTGAGATTAAACTTTTTAACTTCCATTTACCCAAAGTTAGAACTTCATTTAAGAAACAGATCACAAGCAATTTAAAAGCAAGATTACACCAACAGACTCCCACGAAAAAAAATTCTATTTTGTCAAACATGCTGAAACAAGTAATTTACTAGGATTATTATCTGTAAATATGTTTAATAAAGTTTTAATGGTTATTTACCACTTAATAAGAGATATTAAAAGGCAATATAAGTAACTGTGACAGGTGTTACTTGTTCATTCAAAATAAGTAAATAGTTCATACTGATATGAAATAGTAAACTTGGAGTTAGTACCATCCATTCAGAATAATCAATCACTTCACACCTACTTGAAAATATTTTATTACATTATTTTAGAGTGTTTATTTCAATAGTTTTAACCTACATTCTAAAAAGATTGGAAAATTTTTGAACAGATATTTTAAACCTATAACACCATGAAATTAGTGAAACTTTGTACTACATGTGCATATAATTTCAAATGTACCCCAATTGAAACTGTTAAACATGATTTTAAATTCAGGTGTGACATCTATCTGGCACAAACTACCTAAAATTAATCTTTATATTATTATCATTATTACAGATTTCCAAATCTTTATTTTATACATAATTTCATGTGTCATACTTCAGATTAAGATTAGTGGTTTTTGTCACACTGAATTGTTAGTAAGGATTATGTTACACCTATTGGTCACTATATTACACTATTATATATGTTGAGAGAAAAAATAACAAATCCGAACCCTTGGAAAACATAAACAGTTAAATGGCATCTTAGTCTATTATTTAGATTAAGTAAATGCACAAAATGCCTATGTATCCTGAACTGCTCAATAATAATTATTTTACTTTTTTCAAATTATCTGAAAGCATTTCTCAAGATCTAGTTTGGATACAAAGATCTTCAATCATATTATATTCAAAGGCACTAATGGATTTTAGATTAATTTTCAATAAATGACTGCTCTTGAATTTGGCAAATTAGACTACTAGATACAACAATAAAGAGGTTTTTCTGAAAATCTTATGTGTATCGGGAACAATGATAGCATCAATTTGCACCATTTCAATTTTCAGTCAGACATCTGTGGTTTTTGCACTTCCACTTCGACCATGTGTTCTATGATGTCACTATTGCAAAGGTACTTATATGTCAAAAGCAGCTTTTGCAATAGTGACATCATAAAATGCTTAGTATTAGTTGAAATGGTGCAAATCGATATTAGTGTCCTAATACACATAAAATGTTAAGAAAACTTTAAGATGATAAGAATGCTGTGATTAATGTATAGAACTAGATCAATAGCGTGTGATATGGATAGGATAGATAGATTTATCACAATTATAAATTACTGACCTCATTCTTAACACCTATATCAGCTCTTCTTTGTAATAATAATTCTAATAACGCAATATTTCCATTTAATATTGAAATCATTAATGTTGTCTTTCCATCTTTATCTTGGGCATTGATATCAGCTCCATTCATTAACAATGTTAAACCAGTTTCACGATTTCCCCCTACAGATGCTACAAATACAACAATTACCGTAAAGTATCAAATTCAATATAAAAGGGTTTCAATATTCTGCTCAAAGAGTAAAACAATTGTTACCAAATCTCATTTGTTTAGGTTTCACAGAAAAGTAGATTTTCCTCAGATTTGCGATGGGTTGATAGCTTTACTTATAATACAGTTATTTTAGAATTGAATGGCAAAAGAGGAAACTTAACAGTTGTACTTAAAAGTTATAACTTACCACATCGTAATAATGGAGTCCAACCACAGTTATTGTCCTTGATATTGATATCACCACCGTCTGCTACAATCCATTCTAATAATTTGACATTGCCTCCATCAACAGCCCAATGTATAGGAGTTGATCCACCTTTATCAAAATCTGTATATCTAGCATCATGTGACCTTAATAGCTGTACAGCTTCTATTTTACCAGCAAAACAGGCCAACATCAATCTGTAAGATGTACTCTTTTCGTTTTTACAGATTCAGACATTATTATTTCAGTTCATGAGAGGACAAAAAGCATCCAAAAAATGAATTGGTGTGTATTATAAGTGAATTCTTATCTAAACATTTCAAATTATAAAGCACCAAAAATCTTTACAGTTAATATTTACTTTGAACATTATTTGGATATTAATAAAATAAAACTTACGGTGTTTTACCAGCATCATTTCTAGCATGAACATCAGCACCATATTCTATTAAAACTTCAGCAATACTGTAATTATAGATTTACAAACTAGAGGACACTCAGTTTTCATAAACTGCCTAAACTAACAGTATAATAGTGTACATTGTCAATGTACTAAAGAAATTCTACAACTACTTATTTTATCATTGAGTGTTTTAATTCCCAACTGAAGAAAACCAAAAAGTATTTGAGCTTCAGAGTTCTGTAATGTTTGAAAACAAACCCAACATAATTATTTTGGTATCCACATGCAACTGATAATTCTATACTTACTCTACAAAACCTTTTTGTACAGATTGCATCAATCCAGTAAAACCAAATTTATCTGGTACATTTATGTCAACTTCACTGTAAAGTAAATTTTAAGTGAAGTTATAAGTAAAATTTTCAAATAGGTGATGTACATACTGTATATGTTTGGTGTATGATGTTCTGAACCCAGAGTTGTTTATAACTATCTAAGATTCAAATGAAATATTTGTGTTTTAAGTGTTTTAAGTCTAATTGGCTAATTTGAATTGAAGACAACAACTACAAAGAGGTGCAATGAAAGAAAGCCAATTCGTTTTGTAACTTTCAAGGAATCTTTATAACATGCACAGCCTGTAGCACATGAAGCCATGATTTATTGTCCATCCGAATAACTAGCGGTTAACCCTCTGACCTACATCACTGACAGGGCAGAAGATGTTGAAAAATAACAAGGGTCTAGTAAAAATCAAAGTTTAAGATTATTACAAACCCTGTATCTATTATTTTCTGTAAACCAGGAACATCATGTAATAATATAGCTCTATGCAGATGTTCACCATTTAATGGTTCTTCTATAATAAACAAATTTGGTGATTTGTGACAATATGCATGGCTAGATAACAGATTGAGAAGTCAAAACAAACTGTATAGAATATTTTGTTATTATCATGGTCAGTGTTATTGGCTGTATTTGCTAGTCATGTCCAATCCAAAATTATATATCAATATTGTGATAATGACATTTTTGAAGACTTTTTTTTAAGTTTTATAGTTCTCTTTTGATCACAGTAAATAAGGGGGGTGGACACAAAGTCAAAGAATTTCCTTTTGATTTATATGTATCCAATATAAATCTAATATGCATGACAATATTCTTTATGTAATTTCAGAGAAGAATATCCTATGATATATTTTTTTCTAAAATAAAAACTTACTAGTAGTAGCTACAACAACATGCTGACTCCAATCACCTGTACCTTTATCATTTATAAATCTTAATCTAAATCTATAAGTTGTTAAGGGTTCAAGTCCAGTTATTGTATGACGTTTACCATAACCCCTATAATAGATAAGTATATAATTAGATTAATAACCAATCCTCTTTGAGAATGTTTTGGTTAGAAAACACTCAACAATGTCATTTAAGAAAAAACTCAAACTTCACACTTGCATCAGGAATCAGTTAGTCAATGCCATTTCGTCCAAAAAACAGGTTCAACCCTAAATATGATAGAAATAAAACATTTCCAATAATTTTACCATAGATTTCTGGCAAGAAAAGGGAGATTTTTTTTTTACCATGAAAGAGATTCAAACTCACATCACCAAATAATCTAGCAGGAAACAATCCAAGCTGTTAATGATTGAGCTATCCTTTAAGGCTTATCGCATAAAATATAAATCTGCGATTTTAACCATTGTTCATTTTGTGAGTTCAATATAAATTTCGCTTTTAAATTTCATCGTTTCTGTTACAGATTTTCTCCTAAATCAAATAAAACATCAGTGGTTAGAACACTAGCATCAGTTGGCAGAATATACTTACGTATATATGTTTCCCCATACATTATGTTTATCTTGTTCTTGTAAACAACTTTTGATCTTGCCATCTATTTTAGGTAATGTTGCTAATGCTTCACTTAAAGCTTCTTCCCAATACAATTCTACACTGAAATGTGTCACTTTACCAACTATTGGTGGTGGAGGCTTTGGTAATGCTGAAATTTTACAAAAAAAAACGTTTGACATTATGACAGATTCCTACAACCTAAATTTATATTGTGAAATTAATGAAAATAAATATTTGCCATCCAAATCGCAAAAAGAAACCCTAAATAAAAAAAACAGTTTGGCAAAACATTAGTAGTAGAAGTATATTAATCATAAATGTGTAAGTATATCATCATCAGATGTATCAGATGTCTAGCAAAGAATATCCTGTGTGGCACAAAAGTGTACCTTAAAGGGACAGATGCACCAGTTTGCGGGGTTGATTTGAGTCTTGAATATATGTAAAGACTTCAGACATACTAGAAATGTGTGAAAATCGCCCAATTCCTTTTCCTATAGATGTCTTTTCTACATATGGCAGCATCTCAAGAAAAGTGACTCATTTTTATACGCCGGCATGGAAATGTAGACGTATATTGCCGTCGCCCCTGTCCGTCCGTCTGTCAAGATTTATTGTGAGCACAATAGAGACTACATTGTTTATCTGATTTAAATGAAATTTGGTGTGATCATTTATTTGATTTGGAAGATTTTCGTCAAACAGTCTTTGAGTTATTGTTTTTGACAAGCCTAAAAGCTTCAAAATTTATTTGTCAGCACAATAGACTACAGTTTTCATCTGATTTCAATGAAATTTAGTTTGATCATATATATGGATGAGATCTTGGACAAGTTCGAATTTTTAGATTTTACGAGTTATTGCCCTTGACTCAAACAGAAGGCGTCAAAAAATGATTTGTGAGCATAATAGAGAAGAGAATTTTCAAGATTTTACTATGAATGGTTTTTTAAGTTATTGCTTAAATGTAAACACAAATAGTCTACAGTTTTTATCTCAATCTAAATTTGGTGTGATCTTCAATTGATGATATTGTGATCAAGTTCAAATTTGACAATTTTTCTATGAATAGTGTTTGAAACACGTGTCCAAATTGTTCATTAGCACAATAGAGGCTACAGATTTCATCTGAATTTTATGATGATTTTGTGATGATTTATATTGATGAATGAAATGAAATGAATGGAGTTCTACGTTCCTATTTATTTATATTAATTAAATCTTGGTCAAGTTTGAATTTTCAAAATTTCGCACTTTGCAATTTTGAGTTATACTTATTGCCCTTGACATCATAGCAGTGTGATTTAATATTTGATGTATTTTGGTTAAAAAATATTGTGGAAAAACTCAGCATAAATAACTAACAATAAATATATATATCAATAAATTCAAACTACAAAAGCATTATGAAGATCTTTAAAATGAGAAAATTCGTATTTTAGTTATTTCAGACTGCATAATCATTTCTGACAGCTGCCAGTAGGATAACTCTAGATACACAAGGATTTGAAGGCTCAAATTTAGACGGCGAGCTGTGAACACTTATACTGATTGGCTTAGCTTAAATTAAATTCCTGTTTCTGAGACTAAGGTATGATTGGTCCAAAAAATGGTGCACTTGTCTCTTTAATAGTTTAGGTTACTTCATTACAGACTTGCAACATGTTTCAAATCAATTCGACTTTCTCCCGATAAATCATTTGTGTGATTTTCAGGTTGATTTTATTTTTCCCTTATACAGTTCAAATACTTAGGATTGAGCAATCAGTAATAACAAAATGAGTCAAAAAAAAAAAATTAATAATAATTTGTCCGTAAAATGAATAAAACACAAATAGTCACATTATTTGAGTCCATTTAATTACTAGTTATTACCAGGATCAAAGAGTGTTTAAATAGTTATGTCATACTGTTATCAAATGAGACTAAAGACATATCAAGATATTTGTATTATATTTGTCATTGTATTGTATTGCAATTTTTGGTGCAATATACTGGTATATTATATATATATCTAAACAAAAGATATTGCTTACAATATGACAAGATAATAAAGTAATACTATTTAACTTTTCATTAGCAATTATATTTCTAATGTAATTGAAAATGAATATTTGAACGTTATAGCATAAAAAGTGATTAAAATCTAAGCTAACCAATCAAACACACTGTTAAAATAGAACTGACAATACATATACATATTTCCCAGAATTCTATGTGAGAATCTTTTACAGATTTGATTAGTTGAATATTTAATAATTAAGATCATGAGATACATAATAATTTGATCAGATCATGAAAAACATGAAGCCAGATTTGCATTTTTGAAGTTCCTTTTGCATAATTACACAATAAAATCAAATGTCTTGTCTTACCATAGACTGTGGTTTTATAATAATATTGTGTATTCAGTATATTTTCATATTTTGTGATTATCAAAACAATATAAAGTAATATTAGCAAGAAAATATTGCTTACCAACCATCTTGCTCTTAATATGACTATATTTACTATTGAATGTTTCATATCTTATTGTTGGTCTGTAAAATTTTTGAAATTCCACTCCATAAACACACATATCCACATCATTCAATGGTATTCCAGATAGTTTGTACAAATCAACACTTTTTAATACTTTTGAGTCTATATCCATTTTTACTCTGTAAGTTACCTACTTCAATTTATGTTATGATTTCACTATAAACACTCTACACCTTAACTACTTTGATTATATTATCAAATATTCTTAGTCTATTCATGCTCCCTAACTGAATAAAACTTGAGATGGTTGACGTAGTCAGTATATGGTGTCTACTCTAGACGAACTGTATAACATAATGAAAACCCCAAGAGGTAATGTTTAAGTCAATAACATGCCTTGATCAAATAACCCGCAACATAGGTACACCTAGGTAAATTTTACTAATTACTGAATGATTAAGGGAGGTCAAACTGTCCAACTTAAGTTACAGTCAGCTTATCTCTGGTTAATCTAAAGCTAGAGCTTATCTCTTTTAACGCAATCATTAAGGTCAATGGATATCTTTGTTTCATAATATTATTATTATATGTTATAAAGAAAAATAGGTTTAGGGGACACATTCAGGCTTTGTAGTTAATTCAAACCTTATTTCCTAATTATCTCTAAATAGCATTACACTAAATACATTAAGTACTTAATAAATAAAGTAACCTTTATCTAGTGTGTGAAGGAAGCAAATTAATATTCTATTGACAATAATTGACAATCTCAGAGATTTTCAAAAGGATGACAAAAATACAGATGAATAATACAATAAAATAACACTATGTACAAGTCTTAAGAATAAATTATTTTGTTGATTTTTCCAACATTTCTGTCTGAAATCAATTTCCAGCTGTAAAGCTCAAACCATGTTCTTAAGTTTCGATTAGCTCACAGTTCAATACAAAGCTTTGAATATTGTCACTTCTTGGTTATTATTACTATTCTCACATGTAGTTATTACCTATGATGTATTAATATCAGTAATAACTACCACTGAAAATATGTTAAAAACTTCTTGAATGTGAAAATAATCAATACTGTTTTAATCAAATTAAAGGAATATGGATAAATGAAATCAGCAAATATTTCATGAAATAAAAATAAGTTTGAGCTTAACTATAACTATTTTGCACCTTCATGGGCAAATGAAGATGGGCAACATGATACAGTGTGAAATGAAGGAAATATTGATAGGACAGCGGAATCAGCTTACTCTATTTTGTTAAACTGTTAGGGGATCTTCAACACTTTAATAAAGCTTAATCATTATCAAGAGCATGTCAATGTTAAACTAAATATGGATTTATTTTTTGTGAGAACTAGTGACCACTGATAACACAAGACCATATGAAATATTTTTACAATGGACCTCAAATTCAACAACACAAAAAAACCTATTTGTGTTCATGTTCTGAGGATATACTGGTGAATAGAGTGATAAGAGTCTGTTTTTGATAGTTAAGTAGGTATAACCTACCCTTGTTGACTTATTTTAATTTGAGAGGAAAATTAACATACTGATAAGAAAAGCATTAAGTTTATTTAAGGTAAGATTAATCATTATATTTAATGAACCAGTTAATTCATTTAGACCAATCCCTCATATTAACAAGAATGTAGACTTTTAGTCCTTGACATGTCAACTCTTATCATTATTCAGGGTCAGTCTATTTTGGACTATTAAACTACATTAGTAATATGATACAGAAGACCTCCATGTGGTATATGATGTTCTACAAGGATACATTTCTCAAACCATTTGATTATATTGAATATATTATTGCTTTTATCATAAATTTGAACAAAATATCTATAATCTTTTTTTAAAACCATGCTAGTTGAGATAATATCCTCTGTTTTTTTTCAAATTGTTTTCCCCCTGACTGATGCAGGTCTATGAGGCGACATGTGGGGATTAAATTATTTACAAAATTATTTGAAATACCATGACAGTTAGTTTGCTTAGATGGAAATAAGCAAAATTAGATAATCTATTCGTGCCAACTGGGAATTTAATGCATGCAGTTTTCATGGTATGAAAAACCATGCTTTTATGCTTTGCGGGTGCTTTTATGCTATGCGGATTTTCATGGTTTGAAATAATCAAATTTTTGAAGTACTGGTTTGGAAACAATGATTTTGTGTTTGATTGTTTCCATCCCATGCATTCCAACATCTTTTATAGTTTGGAAAATTTCATTATTTCCATCCAATGAGTTTAAGTAGTATATTTGTTTTCAAATAAGCAATTTGGACAATTTCCTGGTTTGGAAACCATGATTTTAATTTATTTTGATTGTTTAATAAACAATCATTAACCATGAACTTATAATATTTGATTAGATAAATACAATAAAATAGTAGCGATTCATTGTTTGAAACAATAATGACCGGTTTGCATACAATGAAAATGGTCAAAACTGATGGTTTCCAAATAATCTTGACTGCACAAAATCATTTATTCCCATATAATCTGCTTATTTCAAATAATTTTGTCAAATAATCTAATTCCCACATGGCGCCTCATACAGGTCGTAGGGGCTGACATTGAAAAAGTGTTGGAATGGGACAATAAATAGTGGCCAGGTGTGCTACAGGCTGTGTACATTATGACCCATCGACAGTTGGAAATTGAAAAAGAACAGGCTTATG